GTTTGGTACAGCACTAGTGTTTTACTAAGCTCAGTTGGCGGTGGCGGCCATCTTTGATTGGGTTCGCTTCAAAGGTAATAACATTTCCTAAAGCTTTCATTAAAATCTATCCAGCAGTTTATTTGATATTTTGACAACAGATAAATTTAACCTCCAATAATTRTTGACAAAATGAAAAACTAATCTGTGCTCAGAGTACGAGTCAGGGCTCAGTCTCAGCTACTACCACACCAAACTGTAGCTTAGTATCTGTCAAACTGACAGTTACAGCCAGTTTGAATTAATCAGCTGCAGCTGTTCTTCATTTGATTCCTTTTCAATGTTTAACCAAAGTTTGAGCTCATGAGATATTTTGCTAACAGACACAGACTCCTTGTTTTGATGATAAACATGCTGAGTGAACATCTGTTTACTTGGTGAAGTCCAGGAAGGAGACATGTCCRTGGTAAAAGGCTGGTTTCATTTCCCTCCACTCGGTCACGTTCTTCACAAAACGCACCTGAACAAAACAAAACCCAGATTAGGTCTGAGAGAAGAAAAGTCCTCTGAGGTCTGTGGTTCTGACCTGGTCCTGGATGGACATGACGGGGTTGTTTTTGGTGGTGTTGATGTGCAGGACGTGGTAGCGGTTCTTCCCGCACAGGTCGTAGGCGATGTTGGTGAAGGAGGTGCTGGCCGTCTTGGGCACGCGGTTGTAGACGATCACCAGGTCGTCCTCACCGTCCGACAGCGCCGCCGCAGAGTCTCGCTCCCGCAGGCCGTACTGCGTGTGGCGCTGCTCGATCTCTCGCACCTCGTGCCTGGCGATGGCTCGCTCTGTGGGGGCGGGAACAGACTGAGTCACACCAAGTGTTTTCCTGCTCGCTTATTTACAGTGACGACTTCTGCACATTGTGTTACATTAATGTTTCTACATCAGAACTCTTTCAGGAGGTGAGTGCTGAAGACAGTTTCTTCTACCTTTTCTGTTTGTCAGAATATTTAACTTTATTTATCGATTTTCCACAAAGAAACCTGCTTTAGATCACTTTATTCAAACCAACTGTTCTATTTGAAACCTGCTTCAGCTACTGGCTCTTTTGCTAATTATAGCTTCTCCTCTGACACATTTAGTTTCTAACTAGCTTTTACTTCTGGCCGCCGTTACTATTTTTAAACTTTAGTTTGTCTTAGGGCTGCCACAAACGATTATTTTTATAATCGATTAATCATCGATTATTTTTTCCATTAGTCGACTAAT